ATCAGTTGTTTTTCCACAATCAGCTGTTCCTCCACAATCAGCTGTTCTTCCACAATCAGCTGTTCCTCCACAATCAGCTGTTTTTCCACAATCAGTTGTTTTTTCACAATCAGCTGTTCCTCCATAATCAGTTGTTTTTCCACAATCAGCTGTTCCTCCTCAATCAGCTGTTCTTCCACAATCAACTGTTCCTCCATGTGTTGTCATGTTCTCTGCCCCTCCTGTCTGTTTTGGATTACTGTGTGTGACATGTATGTGTGCACTGTCACCAGCACGCTGGAGTTTTAGATGTGCAACCATTGCTCAAGAGCAGCGTCTCAACTGTAAAGTGAAACTATAGTGTGGCTTTAAAGGCAAGATGTAAGAAAACTAGAGTTATAATGAAAACAACAATTAGAACTATCAAATTGTTCAAAAATACTTAATGATCCTAAACAAACAACCACCATGGAAACTTCAGAGTGAGTCAATAATTTAACAAAAGTTAAAAGTTTTAATTACCTATCTGAAAAAAGTCAGTCTCATTTCATGTCAAAACTCAGAAGAAAATGGTGAGGTATTTTGTAAAATGTTGCTTTTTGTGATTATTAATATTAATGGGGTTCAGTGTTGTGGAAATAACAAAGATTGAAATGATGTACTGTACTGTAGTTTAATTATGGGGGGGGGGGGGGGGGACCCACAAATGCCCAGGTTTAGAAGAACAAGTTTTTGCCAGCTCAATTTTAAATTGTTAACATCCTCCTAAATATCAACATCTCCAAAAGGAAGATGTGCTCATCAAACAGTGCTGCCAATCAACCGGCCTCTCTCTGCCTCCTCAATTTGTCAACATTTAAACAAGACTTTATGCAACATTTTAGGAAATGAGTTTTCATATTTCCTATGTAGATACAGTAAGTGCCAGTTGGGCAGCACAGTAGTGCAGTTGGTAGAGCTGTTGCTTCTCAGCGAGAAGGCTGCCTGTTCAAATCCTGGTCGGGGCCTTTCTGGGTGGAGCTTGCATGCTCTCTCCGTGCATGCATGGGTTTTCTCCGTGTACTCTGGTTTCCTCCCACAGACCAAAAACATGCATGTTAGACTGATTGGTAACTCTAAATTGTACCTAGGTGAGAGTGAGAGTGAGAGAGTGAATGGTTGTTTGTCTTGATTGTCTCAATGTTTTCCTGTGATGGGCTGGAGAACTGTCCAGGGTGTCCCCCTCCTCTCACACATTGACTACTGGACTTGGACACCAGTGACGCCCGTGATCCAGAAAGGAAGATGCGGGTAAAGATGCTGGATGGATGGATGGATGGATAGACAAAGTGTCAGGTCTAAAAGATCTAATTCGCCTAAGCTAATGCTGTTTATGACATATATGAAATATTTATGGTATCCTGAGAGCTGGTGGTGTTTGTATCTCAGGAGAAGCAACAAAGGAAAAGGATCAATCCACTGCATGGTTCTCTTCACAAAGACAGGGTATGTGAGATGATATGATTCATCTTCTGTTCCAGTTATGAGCAATAGATATGGCTGCATCTGTAAATATATTACCCACAAAAAACAACATCAAAACTCAATGTTGGTATTTTACATTTAAAATAAAAAGTCTTATGTTTATAAAGCATTTCAACAGATAAGGCTCCACATTCAGAAGTTAGAAAACAAAAACGTAGATAATATTTATTAGGACTTTTACCGCTACAGTCTTATCCTTATCTGTAGCCAAACTGAGGGCAAGGAGGTTCCTCAGTTTCCCATAGGAGATTGAATACCCCCTCATCAGGGACAAAAACCAGGGACCATTAAAAATGTCAGTAGTGAAAAAGAAAGGATGGTGAAGAAAGGCCAAAATGTGACATTTATTCAGAGAATCCATCCTGAACACAACTCGTACCTGATACAGTGAGAAGTTCATACAGGTTTAAGGAGAGTTTCTTTACTTAATCTGTTTTTCTCTTTCTGTCACTTTTGTCTCTGCTATGTTTGTGACAGATGGTCAAATTCAGATTGTGCAGTAAGGAGAACCAATATCTGATGTAAAAAAGTGCAATTTGCTCAAACTAATATAACTGGATGAGCACGTCTGCACCAGCAAATGGAGCTATTTCCCACCTGCTTCGAATGTTATCACCCATTAAATGTCCGTTATTAGTTGTTTTCATCCCCATACGTTGCGTTCAGACTGCCCCTCCTGTACCTCCTATTAGGTTTAAAGGTATATTGTTAGCACTGATTATAGGGTCACATGGCTAGGTTAAGAGTCAAGGGTTTGGGGGTTAGGTTTAGAGTCTGGGTTAGGTTAAGGCTCAAGGGTAAGGGGGTGAAGTTTAGGGTCAGTGCTCTGGGTCAGATGTAAGTTAAGGTTTTGTAACAGAGTTAAATAAATCCAACAAAAATAACCCTTCTGGTTTTACACACATGCGAAGCTGCATAATATCAACAATAACAACATACCTTTAAAACTACTAGGAGGTAGGAGGGACAGTCTGAACGCAGCCTATGAGGGTGATAACAACTAATAATGCTCATTTAATGGGCTGATATCATCCAAAATCGCTAATTTGTGGAAAAAAGCAAAGGCAAATGGTGCTGTCTCTATGCTAGAGGTGGGGGACACCCTGGACAAGTCTCAAGTCCATCACAGGGATACCTGGACAGGCCTCAAGTCCATCACTGGACACTTATAGAGACAAACAAGAGAAACAACCATTCTATCAGTCTAACATGCATGTTTTGGGTCTGTGGGAGGAAACCAGAGTACCCAAAGAAAACCCACGCATGCACGGAGAGAACATGCAAACTCCACCCAGAAAAGCCCCAACCAGGATTTGAACCGGGGTGACCTGCTTAATGAGAGGCGGCAGCTCTACCAACTGCAACACCATACTCATATGGGGGCTGAGAGGATGTGGAGGCAGGGCAGCCGACTCAGGACCCGAAGGTCCCGGCTTCAATCCTGGGTCATTGCACATCTCGTGGCGTCTCTGAACAGGATGCCTTATCCCCAGTTGCTCCTCGGGTGCCTTCCATAGCTGCCCACTGCTCCACCTGGTGGATGGGTTAAATGCAGAGAGACAATTTTGCCATTGTATGGGAACATACAATGATGATAACACATAACACATTATTATTAGTATTATTATTAAGCCTAGCTTAACTTCATGAAAGTCATTCACTCAACATTCTACATTTTTTTTTTTTTTAAGTCTCTGCTGTTTATTAGCTCAAAAAAGCAACATATAACCAAGTCTAAAATGATGTTGAATGGATTTATAGCACTTTTTTGTACATTAAAATTACAGGACAACAATCCCACCTACTGTAGCCATAGAATACTTCTGTCACCCAGTACTATTTGAGAAAATAACATGAAAACCCACTAAGAACGCAGCTCTGTAAAAGAAAGTTCATAATAGGTGCACATTCACCCATAGATCACTTCTTCTTGCCATGCTACTAGCTGCTCAGTGAACAGAGCATTCATGATACTGACGAGTGTTCAGAGTTCTCTGCCTCCAGGTAATATTTGGATAACTAAAACTCCAGCATCAGCTCACTCTTGGTTTCCCTCCACTTCAGCAGGTGGTCTTCTGTAATGATTGCCGTGAGTCTCATCCCCGCTGGGTGTCTTTTAAGCGTGGGGGAGCAGGAGAAGCTAGCCTGCCTGTTATTTCCTCTTCTGTGTCTGTATATGTACGTATGTGTCTCCAGAAAACAATCGGATAAGTGGCATCCTGACCTCGCAGACGGAGCCCTACGACCTGTCTTTCTCACGCTCCTTCCAGAGCCTGTCACACCTGCCGCCCTCCTACGAGGCGGCCGTCAAAGCCGACCTCAACCGGTTCTCATCCCTGAAGAAACTCAGTAGGTCCAAATTCACTGCACTAATGCAAGAGTAGGCTCCCTGCCCCGGCGCACTGCATGATGAAGAAAATACTGCATTAGGTGTGCTTCCCTGACTCCTGTCCGGGGCTCACTGAGGAGCGCCCAAGTGTTTCAGCTGTGAGAATGATTTGCCTGCTGTTCTGTGGACAAAAAAGCACTCATACGTGTCTCCCTGAAATTTCAGCAGTTCCCATTTATGTAAACATGCAAGTGGATCAAAGGAGCGTAGAATTAAAATCAGAATATGTCCATTTGTCAGTCCTGATCCACCACGAAACCAGCTGAGTCATTTGAAAGGACCTATGCGTCACTCCTGCCTCCTTCGTCTCCTCTTAAAGAACACAGCTAGTATTTGTATCTAACTGTGTAAGAGCATTAGGCGGCTTGTTGCACCCGATCTAGCTCGGTATTGATTCAGTGATGCTCCTCTGGATTTCTGCTGCCTAATGAGGTCTCATCTCATGATATTTCTGTGAGTGAAATATTTCTTAAGGCTTGTGTAATCTTATCATGGCTGGCCAAGTTCACTGCTGGCATGCAGTCAGAGTGAAAGATGGCCATCTTCAATTTCTTCATCTGTGTTTTCTCTACATTGCAGCAGACAGACAATGTGAAAGAACGAATGCTGTCATGGAAAACAGAACGTCTGCTGTCAATCACTTCTAAGGTTTAACATGTCAGGACTTTATAAGCAGGATTTGTTTTTATAAAATTATTCAAATGTAAAAAGAAACACAATAGATTGCACAATGTATTAACCAAAAAAATGTAACTTGCTATAGCTGAGGCCAGGAAAGTCTGAGATGGAGCTCTTTGAGTGTTTTTTATTTATTGATTTTTTTATTTATTTTTTTGTAATTTCATTGATCATTGCACAGTCTGCTGGAAAAATTAGATGTCCCAGTAAATGTTTTTATTTGTGAACCATCTTTCTCCATACATGGACTCTATATTGCCTAAAAATGACATCTAATCCTTCCCAAACTGAAGCAGCAGTTGCTTCTTTAAGGGCATTGCTGATGTCTTTTCTTCTTGGCATTGTGAAAACACCCCTGCAGCAAAGTGCCCAAACTGTTCCATTTATAGAGGTGTTCATGATGATCAGTTAATCGATATATTTGATCAACATCTCCTGACTGATCCTGAACAATCTACATCCTATGAGAGCAAAGATTGACTTGGTTTTTCCAAATTTAAATTTTATTTCATTTAATAGAGAAACTGCATTTCTTGCAAAAATGCAGTGTGAATGCTTATTACTGAAACTTGCTGAAAACAGTTGAAATTAGTTTAAAAAAAACCATTGTGAAATGTAGCTGAAATGGAAGAACAAGCCTAATTTAACAGAAGAAAGCAGAAAGAACACGTATTTGCTCAATTAGGTTTAAATAAACAGAAATGAGTCTAAAAGTTAGGAAATTAGCTAAAAAAAAAGGCTGAAATAAGCAAAAATAAATAAATAAAAGCTGAAAAGTAGCTGAAAAGGTGGAAAGTAGCTTAACTTACCAGAAGGACGTGGAAAGAGCTGAAATGAGCTTAAAAAAAGGAATTAGCTGAAAAAGCTAAAATTAGCATAAAACAGCTAAATATTAGCTGAAATATCAGAAAAGGCTAAAACTAGCAGAAAAAAAGCAGAATAGAGCATAAGCGGAAATTATCAGAAATATTTTAATTAGGCTGGAATTAGTACAAAAACTTTAATTTATCTGAAAACAACTGAAATTAGCTGAAAATGCTAAAAATGTAGCTGAAAAGGTAAAACTAGCTTAAATTAACAGAAGAAAGCAGAAAATCACGTTTGCCCAATTAGGGTGAAAAAACAAACAAACAGAAATTAACACAAAAAGTGGAAATTATCTGATAAATGCTGAAATGAGTAAAAATAAAACAGCTGAAAAGCAGCTAAATAAAGCAAAAAGAAGCTTAAATTACTAGAAGGAAGTGGAGAGAGCACATCTGTGCTGAATTATGTTAAAAAAGTTGAAATTAGTGCAAAAAAATGTGGAATTAGCTGAAAAAGCATAGAACTGCTAAATAGTAGCTGAAATAGCAGAAAAAGCTGAAACTTGCAGAAATAAGCAGAGAGGAGCATAGCAAGCTGAAATTGGCAGAAAGAAGTTTTAAGAAGCACAAAAATGTTGTAGTTAGCAGTAAGAATCTGAAAGGAGCACAAAACAGCTGAACAAATAGCTGAAAGTAGCTGAAAATAGTTTAAATTTGCAGAAGTAAGCGGAAAGGAGCTGAAACAGAACAAAATGTGAAAGAAGCAGTAAAAGGCTGTAAACAGATCTGAAGGATGTAAAATGAGCTCAGTTCATTTTCTATGAGAAAAAAATGGCAGAAAAGGCTAAATATTTCAAAAAGCTAAAGTTGCACCAATACCAAAAGTCAAAGCAGGATTGTCCTGAAAAAGCTGAACGTTTTGATACCGAAATTTCTGAAAAAAAAAACTGTGGGACGAGAATCGCATCAAAACACGTACGGAATAGTTAACGAGAAGTCAGAATAATAAATATAAACAGGATCACAATAGTGTGAACGCTTAATTAGAATTCACTCAAAAATGACATGGAGGAATCTATTGTACACCTGGGGTCAAAATCAAATAATTTTAGATTCTGAAAGAGTCCAGGTCATTTTAATATGTCCTAACATAAAAACTGTAGAACTAAAGGAGTGTTGACGTTCTTTTTTCCCATGACTGGATGCACTCAAATGGATTTGCACGATGTGGTGCAACTTATTGTCTTTCTAGTCAAAGAAAGCTCAGAAGAACAAAGATAACAGTTTTTGTTCGGCATTAAACTAAAACTAAATTAATTCAGTTGTCACAATAGAAACTCACCAGAGAAAGTGTGTTGAAACACAAATATCCTCGGGCAGTGTCCTTCAGTCTTACTTTCTTTCTGCTTCCAAAGCAAATTATTTGTTGCAGAAAACAGCCGAAAGGCTCTGCTGCCTCGCGTTGCTCAGCTAGTGTGTGCACACTGATAGATCATGTTGGATTGTTCCAGAGGAAAGATAGAGCAGCGGTTTCATTGTTCGGATAATAAAAAAGAATAATGCTGCTGCTTATTAATGCAAATTGCTATCCAAGTGAAGAGAAAGCATTTAGACTGTTGCTGTGCAGGACAGTATATTTGATGACTTATTCATTCAGTCGGTGGATGAGCTGCCCAGCCCAGATCATGTAGACTATGTGATGCTTGAGAAAGGAACATCTTGTTTTTATTATCTCTCATAATGAATCGATTTGCAGCGAGCACCCGTGGCCTGCCAGAGGGGATGTCGCCTGAATGAAATATGGGCGGGTGGTAAGAGCGTTATTGAAGACGACAGGATCACGCACAAAAAGTCATTTAGGACTTTCCAAACAAGGTGGAGCGCTCAGTAATTTATTTCCACGTGCGTTCTCTTCTAATTCAGTCCAGTGGTTAACAATGTCCCACCACCGACATTCACGGACTTTGGTTCACAGACTTTTTGACAGGAAGTCTGGTAAAGTTTTATAAATGTGTGCCGCCATGTGTGTGATTACATTTTCAGTGAGCAGTCTTTTTTGCATGTGTTTATGTTCCGTGGCATGACTTGGATCGTGCGCTTGGTCTTCCACTTTGTTGTCTCAGGAAGTGTTTTCCTGTCTTCTCAATCTGCCTTTGAACGCATGTCTTCCTGTTAACACATACGAGGGAGGACAACGCTCATTGATGTGAAAGCACTCGCAGCTCTCGAGGATGGCCAGACTACGCAACGATAGCTTTCCAGCATGTGTCCTTGTATGTCTCCCTACATGTCTGGTTGTTTTTGTTTGTTTTTCTCATGACCTTTGAAAAGTTTGCTCCCACAGCCAGTGCTGCCTGTAGAATCACAGATGGAGTCTGGATTTGTGGATGTTCTGTGCCAAGCATGTAATTTGTGACCCTTTGCCTCTTGTTTCTATTTCCCTCCATGAGCTTGGAAAGGTGAAACCCAGACGGCTCCACCGGCACTTCTCTCCACTTTGTGTGCAGTGATTCCCCCACTCCTCGTCCCATTTAAACACCTACCCATGTTTTCTTGTTCATTCACATTTCGGACCTCCTCTTCAACTACCATTTGATTTTTCACATCTCTTTTTCAATTCTCTGTCTCTCTGCAGCAGATAAAGATGTTGATGAGTACTACTCCCGCAAGCGCCACCTGCCCGACCTGGCAGCAAGAGGCACTCTTCCCCTGCATGTTCTGAAAATGAGTCAAGACCCGGTGGGTACACAGGGTTTTGATTTAGGAGAGCAAACCTTAATACATGGTTACACATATTGCAGTCTTCAGTAGAAGTCTGAAGGTAAAGTATCCCAGGGCTATGACCATAAGAGACTAATTGGAGACCTAAAATTGCAAGAAAACAGACAATATTTTTATCACAGTTCCACTGAATTCTGGGTGTTTGTGATCAGTGAAGCATGCAGACATGTTTTGAGAAGATGTGGATTTTTAGGAACTGTAGATTTTTTTAATCATGTATTTTAGTTATTTAAACCTTTTAGTACCCTGAAGATCCACGATAAGTGAAAAACTGCAAAGTAGGAATAGTAGTGCAAGTAGCAAGTATGAGTTTAAAACCTACCCACACTCTTGCAATATTCTAAACAATGTTTCTAAGCTCTAAACACTCTAAAAGAGCACAGAATGTCACGATTTCAGCTCCCTTCCTCCTATGCTCTTTGCCACCTGCAAGCAGTCTTGACCGCACCCACTTCCCCGCTTTGCATGGAGAACAGTTGATCAGCTGCAGCAGGAAGTTTATTCTACAGTATGGGCTGCACAAATGTGCAGCAGGTGCTAAATATTTTAAAATAATATGCTGGTGAAGATTCTCTGGTGAATTGAGAAAGCTCCTCGTATGAGGAGCGAAACGTCTTCTGTTACAAATAAAGTCCAGTTGTTTTTGTATTGAACGTTTTTTTAATTTAAAATCATTTATTTTAAATAAAAAACCCATGCAAATCGTACTGCTCATCCATCAGTCATACAATTGTGTGTCATGTCAAATCATATTTTGAAAAACCGTGATAGAGCGAATCCACAATAAATAAACAGTGAAGTAGTGCAGGACTACTGTATTTCCTGCAAAACTGTTTTCTTGGTGGTGCACATTATTTTTTTTCCCACCTTTGTCCCCACTGTATCCATCTCTGCCTGCTTTTGTACCCATCTGGAGCTGGAGGTACCATGGGGGGGGGGGAGGGGGGCAGATTTTTAAATGACTATTATGTATCGTTTGCATGGTTAGACTTGAACATTCGGGACTGTAACACTGGGCTTCTTCTATGAGAACAGAGATTCTGTGTAGGTGTCAAAACTCAGCTCAAGAGCATACGAATTTACAAAAACTCAAGGGTTTCAGCCACTTTTATAAACCTTATAAGGCTTCAGTGACAATGCTATAAGCCTTTGTGACTTACTCTCTGAATGTTTCAAGAGATGTTGGAGACTCTCCCGTGAATATCATTTGTCAGCTAGTCTCTAACGTTCACAGCCCAGTAAGATACAACCTTCAGCTCTAAACCCTCAGATCTGAATGTGATAGGGCAGATTTATGACTTCTGCAGCCAAACATTTTACTCCTTGTATCCTGATGCTTGATCAGTAATCCAGGTAAAAAATCCACCAAAGTTAAGTCAGGTCCTCTGGACAGATTCTTCTTATTGAACCGTTTCATATTTTAATCCAAAAGACTTGGTCAGTCAACGTTAGACCTGACTTACCTTTGGTAGACTTTACTCCTTGGCTCATGAATAAACTCACCTAATTTGTATTTTGTTCAGCAGCATCGAGAATCACAGCAGCAGCAACTCCAGAACCAGCCTCCACAGTCCTCCATCTCCCAGGCCCCTCCCCAGTCACAGTCTTCACAGCAACAGTCTCAGCAAAGGCAGCGACCCAGGCGTGTCCAACGGGCAATGTCCCAGGATCGTGTTCTGGTTCCACAAAGTGGCCCGCACCAGGACTACAACATGTCATCTGAGGGTATGTCGCCATATGGAGGCAGGATCCTCTCAGACGAACAACTCCTTTCTGCTGAACGCCTTCGGTCCCAAGAACGTCTTCTGCCCCAGGACCGCCACACCTCCCAAGACCGCCTGTACACCAAGGACCGCATGTACTCGAAAGATCGGCTCTTGTCACAGGAACACCTGTACTCAAAGGATCGCCATTACTCTCAAGAACGTCTTTACTCACAAGATCGCCTGTACTCGCAGGACCGTCTACTGTCCCAGGATCCCCTGCTCTCACCAGAAAAGCTGATGATGTCACTGAAGCGCGGCATGGTCAGTAGCGTTTCTGGTGGCTTCCGTGGCAGTGACATGTCGATGTCGCGTGCCATCTCCCACACAGATGTGTTCACACCAACCACTCCTCTCATGGATCGCTATAAGATGACCAAAATGCACTCCCATCCCAGTGCCTCGAACAATGGTGGCAGTGGTGGAGGCGGAAGCGGTGGCAGTGGGGCACCAGGGGCAGCAGTATCTGTGCATTCCAACACTTTAGCCATGAACCAGACAACAAATAAAAGACAGGCATTTGCCTCCAGACGGACTCACACTGTGGAACAGCTCCACTACATCCCACAGCACCATCAGCAGCAGCAGCAGCCACAGCACTACCGCACAGGCAGCAAGACTGAAGTGACTGTGTAACAGCATATTGAACTGCTCCAGTAGGGGCACTGCCTCGTGCCAGGCAGAAGGGGGTGGGGTGGGGGGTTAACTGTGGAACATGGGTATACTCACCACCTTGTACAGCAGGATGGTAGTGATTTCATGTTTTTTTTGACTGAAGTATCTGAAACTCAAAGATTTCAGGACCAACATCTATCTGAGAGACCGGAAAAGAAACTCCACTGTACATCGCAAACATGAGCCCAGCAAGACCAGAAGCCAGGGAGGGTTGTGAAATATGGACAGTTACCAGTAGTATTATTCAGCTAACTTGCCTCATAAACTTTCCAGTGTCTTGAAACTTCTTTTTTTACAGGCTACAACCTGATTTTGTCTGTTTTTGAAGGGAAACACTGATTTCGCCTCTTAAAGCCTTCATTGTTTCCCTTTTGTTCCACAAATTTACTCTGTGACCTTTTCTGGCAAATCTTAAAGGGCTCTGAATGGTTAAACACAAGAACTGATTCCTCCTCGACTTCTGCTGTTGACTAACACAACACCTCTACAGGTGATGAACTATAATGACTTTATAAATATATAAATAAAGTAATAAAAAGGAAGCATTTGTACGCCCTGTCCTACTCATAGCTCTAGAATCTCAAAGTGACAAATGGATGTTCTCAAATGTTCCAGTTCTACAGTACCAACTGGTTTTGTGGGTTACAAAGCACAATTAGTACAAAATATTCTGTTAGTTTTTTTTTTCTTGGAGTTTGAATAGTGATGGCTAGCCTATTTTATTTAGGGAAAAAATGCTTTTTTTTGGTTTTCCTTTTTATTTTTGCTTTGAGTAGCCACCTGTAAATAAGCTATCCTAGAAGCAGTATAATGGACAAATCTGTACCCAATGGACTTTGTATTAGACTGTCTGTTTTCAATAGATTCTTAACTATAAATCATCACTGTTTTGTGAGTTCAGAATAGAAACCCACTTAACCAAGTATCTGACAGGATAATTAGTGTGTCGTCGCCAAACTGTTTGGATGAAAAGCGGATGAATGTGTATCTGACAGCAGATATACCACTGTTCATAACTGGATGTAGACTGTGTTCCATAAACATTGAGAGACTTATTGGATATGGATCATAAGGCTTGTCAAGGAGGTCAAATAAAACATCCATATTTTTCTAAACATGCAGCACAGCTTATTGAGATCTTTGTGTTGTGTGTCTGCTTTTATAAACCTCTTTAACCACAGCTGGTTTGAGCACTGCAGTCACACTTTGTGGGGTTTCAAGAAATACGTCCAAATGAAACATAGATAAGTAGAGTTTAAGTATGTGTCCTTGTTTGGTAAAGTTTTGTAAATTATCACTTTACAAAGTAGTTCACAGTTAAATAAATGGTCTGGAGCTCATTGAGTTTTGGCACGGTTTTCATCAAAATAAAGGTGAATACAAAATTGTGGCAGATAATTACAACAATCTGAAACAGGTGTATGTAAGAGGGCTCATGTCTTTTCAGACAGCCAGGCTAAGACCAGGGTAGAACTGATGAGCAGGAATGGAGTGTGTTTCCTTTAAAATGGAAAGTAAAGTGTTTGATGGCAGCAATATATGTGACATTTATGTGAAATAGAAACAACAAGAATCTCATGCTGGTTCACAAAGAGCAAATTCACAGACTGTATTTGCAACATTCGGACCCTGGCATCAAAACAAATTTTATTTACTTACATATTGTTAAAGGAGGCCAGTTCTTTTTAAACTGTGGAGCACAACTATTGACAAAAACAAGAATAGACAAAATGATTCCATTATCTTCTGTTGTCCAAAACTGAAGCCAGTCAGCAAGGTTATAAATCTGGAGGCTGCTCACAAAGGATGTGAGAATGAACCTTCAAAACAAAAGTTTAGTTTGCCCTTGCTCCCAACTCACTAACGCATCATGTTACAGTTGCACATGGAACTGTTTACAGCCACAAATCACAAATTCAAATAACTGTTTAGAAAATGCATATTTGAACACCCAACAACAAGGTAAGAACTATCCATCCATCCATGATCCTTACCCACTTCTTCCTTTTCAAGGAATGGAACAGACTGTTCTATATAAGTACAATCCGCTCCATTCATACATGTTCCTTAATACATACTGTGGGCAGCTGTGGCTGAGTGGTTAGAGCAGTCATCCTCCAATGCAAGAGTTGGGGGTTCGAATCCACCATCAAATCCGCATGTTGAAGTATCCTTGATCAAGACACTGAACCCCTCTTTGCCTCAGATGTGTGTTCCATCGGTGTCTGAATGTGATAAAGCACTGATTAATCTCTTTAAAATGATTTGTTCAATTAGTCTTGTAGAACTCAAGCAGAGTGCTGTATGAATGTTAAATGAGAACACAGATTGTAGTGTAAAGCACTTTGAGTATCTTGATAAGATAGAAAGGTGCTGTATAAGTACAGTCCATTTACC